AAAGATAACCACATTTGAAAACAAATTTGTCTAATTTCCACAAACATACCCTTGTTATTTACATAAGCACAATAGAAATGGCTCGTTTAAGTCTGATTGGCTGGAGCTTTTCAGGAGATATTTCAGAATAGACCTTTTAAAATCTCTTTAGACTAAGAAACCAAGCTAAACACTCACATAATTTGTTCTATTACAAGGAGAGCAGACTCATACGGAAATTATACAGTATATGTTGTCATGAAAAAACAAGAATATTTATGAAGTTCCTGAATTCTAGAGGGACCAGGTAAAGAGGGGAAAAAAGTAAATGTCTCAAAATTTATCATTAAAGCAATTTACAAAGCAAAATACATTGCTAAATTGCTGTGTGTTGGATAACTTAAAGAGCAGAAAAGGGCCTTTTGAAATCTGGAAAGTGAAACATGAAAGAATCAGCAAATGTCCTAAAAACTGTCCTAAAAATTGCACTTTGTCATCATGAAATATTCTGTACTTTTTGTTGTGCTGCTTCTTGGACTACCAACTTTATGAAGCAATTTTCCATTAACATTATAGAAATTCTTATCCAGTTAAGTTTGGTGACATTTGTAGTCCCTGGTGGCCACCAAGAGCCAAACCAGCTCCTGGTCCAGGTCCACTGTCTAGTAGACATTCCTCACCCACTTCCTCCAGGTAAGCTGCTTTCTGGAGGACTCACCCTGCCATCTCACCCTAGAATCTAGGAGATGGGAGCAGTCTTCCTGATTTCCTCTGTACCCTGGGGGAGAGGGCAGGGAATTTCCATCTTGAGGTGACACAGAGCTGTCCTTTGCAGGGTTCTATTCATAAAATTAGGCAAAGGTTTACATTGCAATATTTATGGGAGTGGAAGGGATGGGGAAAATAAACTTAACTCATAAAAGTAAACACTCATGCAGACAAGAATCATAGAGTTGGCAAGCATGTAATGAGGGAATCTAGAGGTAAAACCGAAAGCTTGTATTGTTTTCTGTTTCAGTTCAGTGCAAAATGTACTTGACAATAATCTTTAATGTGCGGCCCTCAAACTGGATTTTACTTCTAAGTCATTCCATGACATTAGGGGGAAATGAACTTGTTTAGCCTAAAATGCTTTTCTGAAACTGTTTAATCTGAATTCAGATTCTTTCTTTTCAAGTAGTTCTATTGCTAGTGCTGTTGATAGTAAATTTGCACCCTATACTGAAAGTAACAGATATATTTGAGACAATTATATTGCTTGAGTGTATTCCTTTAGAAGCACAACATGTCTTGCCTTAGGCACTATGACTTTGCTAGAAATAACAGATTCAACTGTAAAATGCCAGTCGAACAGAAGCTGATGGCGTGTGACTGTTTCAAGGCAAATAACCTAGACATAGCCTGGAGTACTGGTATCCAGTGTGTCACTGTGTCAGCTAACTCAAAATATAAACTCACTCAGTGGGGGTGGAGGAAGAATTCTGGCTGCATATAGGAACCATGAGGAAGAAAGCAGAAGCTCTCCATTTGGAGAACACCATCTTTCTCACCCCTCCTGTGGCTGTCATCTCCCTTCCCAGCCTCTTTCCTCCCCACTTTCCACCACTTCACCTTTAGGAACCCCATATCCAACACTATTAAACCCCATAGGGTTTTCCCACCCCTGAGCCCCTCTTTTCACTGTGCCTCTCTCCACAGCCTCCTTGCCCACCTAGGGCTGACTGCAAGGCCTGTGGTTACAGTGACTTCTTTTGTGTAATTCCTTGACCTCTTCAGAGAAGGTAGCTTTTATTTTTTTCAAATTTATTGAGACTTATGCCATGGTCTCTTATGCCATGGTCTCTTATGTGATTAGTTTTGGTGAATGTTCACGTGTGCTTAAGAAAGTGAACTCTTGTTAGATGCAGAATGCGGTGTTTTGCTTCACTGTTTTGCTGGATTTTGTTGCTGGAACTACCAATAATTGAGACACTGAAGTGGCTTCCCCTCAGATGGCAGCTTCATGCCTCAAAGTTCCATAAATTTAGTATCATTTTCTGGCTGTTCGATTACATGTGTATATAGTTTGAACTATGTCTTTTTGATTATTGGAATATTTTACGATCAGATGTGACCCATTACTTCTGACTTCAAATCCATTTGCTCATCTTGAATGTTTTCCTATCTTTTTTCCCCATTTGATTTCAAACTGCCTAGGTCTTTAACTTAGTTTACATCTGTTAAACAAAAGCTTATGGATGTTTCCCTTTTAAAAACCAATCAGATAGTCTCCTTTAGTTGACAGATGTAAGTCTTATTGTTTATGGAGGTCTTTCTACTTTTGATCTTTCTAATATACTTGTAGGTGTTCTGCCTTTTTTCCATTCTTGCTGGACTGTTTGTTATAACCTAATTCTTTATTTGGGTAACATTCTGGGGTCATGTGCCCATCAACGAGAGAGGATTTAAAACGAACAAACAAACAAACAAAATAAATCCTGGCAAGGAAAGAGGAGAGCTGGGGTTAAGTTTTGGCTTTGCAAATGGCCTGCTGTGTGACCTAGAACAAGTGAAATCATTTCTCTGAGCTGTATTACACTGTGAAAAGTTAGCAGCAGTGGTCTGAGATTTCCTCTGACTCTTGGATCCTCTATGTACAGACTTTACTGATGACTGATTCTTGGCATTGGGAGATCTCCAGCATCTCAAATCTCAAATTTGCCTAGACTTAGTGTTGGTTTGAATTAAATAATTTTCCCCAGATTTACTGAGATGTCTCTTTGAGATGCAAGATAGTTTTTCTGTCTTCATAGCATTGGGAAAACTTCACACTAAACTATCAGCAATATGGAATTATAGGGGGGAAAAAAGTAGAATGTCAATAATTGATTTTTCTTATATGTTCATAATTGACTGAGTCATAAATTTTACACTGTGTGAGTTGCTATTCTAGATCTTGAAAAAGTTTCATAGGTATAATTAATTATAGGGATAATTAAAGGTATAGGTATAATTTCATAGGTATAATTAATTTAGAAAAAGGAAAATATACAACAAACAGTACATATTTGGGGGCCTTCCCTGGTGGTATAACCGGTTAAGTCATAACACTGGAAACTATCTGCATCCACTGCAGCTCCAAGTTTGACCTGGCCAGGGAGGTGACCCACATGACTCAGCATACTTTTCCTGTCTTGCCTGCTGCACCCCTCAGCAATTTCAGTAGATCTCCCTGGTCAGCTTCTTTCTGGTGAATACCCTCTCCCCTGAACCTCTGGCGTGTAACACAGTTCTTGTATGCATAAGTAAATCTTTTTAAAAAACAAGAACATATTTAAAGATGATTTAATAAACTGATCCCAAACCAAACCAAAAGTGAGAATCAGTATTTACAGACCCATTGAAATAATGAAAAAAAAAAAAATTTATGCATGCAGGAACTGGGCACAGGCCAGAGATGGGGATTTTGTGGGGAATGAGATCTATTCAAATACGCTGCTGAAGGGAGCAGTGAGTGAGACAGCAGAAGTCTGCTGTGCCATGTGGGCTAGCTCCCTGAGCAGGGTTTGAACTCATGTTTCAGTGGCTGCAGATAGCTTCTTACTGCTGAGCTTTTTTAACCAGTTGTACCTCTTCATTTATGTATTTGGTGTACAGGCCAGAAGAGCGGGGTATGAGAGGGACTCATGACAGACAGTGGGGAGCAGAATGAAATACACAGCTGAGGGGAGCAGCGGGTGGATCAGGAGTGGTCTGCGCCATGTGGGTCAGCTCCCTGGCTGGGGATTGAACTTGTGCTGCAGAGGCTGCGGATAGTTACATAATGCTGCATTGTGCCATCAGAGAGGGCCCTAAAATCATTTTTTTAAATATTAAATGGTTGTCCTAAAACCCTTAAGTAGTTTTCTAAGAAATCAGGATATACAAGCTCTCAAGACATTTCTGTTTAAACACTAAAATATTATTGGAACAACAAAATACCACCACCACAACCCACTTATAACCATGCACTTACCTTTTAGGGTTTGAATTTTCAGAATGACATTTAATATAGATTGGATTTTGTTTGCAACATCAGAGGTTGCTTTCAAATTGTTAAGAGAAAAATGAGCATATTAGGCTTTTCATGACAAAAGAACAAGCTTTCATGGTTTGGCTTATCTTTGTTGTTGCCAAAAGCTATAAAGATTGCTTTTAAAGCCCTAGCTAGATGTATCTGCACTTGCTTACCTAATTGTCATCAACTGCACTTTTGGGATGTACTCTTTACCTCTTAGAAAAAGCAACATTTAGTTTCCTTTTTTTAATGTAAAAGAGGTCAAGTCCCAAAGATGTCAGCTTTCCCAGGTTTATTTTAGACAAAACTTCAAAACCCTCCAAAAACAGACAGGAATATCTTAAAATAGGGACTTACCAAGCTTCTGACACATGAATGATCAGTACAAAAATACATAAGCTAGGTTGGCTCACTGAAATTGGAGGACTGTGTCAATAAATGTTTTCAAAATTGATATGACTGAGAATTCAGTGCAAATTCTACCCCTCCTAGAACATATTTAGATCCTAACATGTGTAAAACCTTGAATTACTGTTACTCTTCAGTAGTTTATTTTCCAATTGCTTGTGGTACTTTTATACTTGAGAGCTAAACTACACCTCACACCTTGTTAATTCCACACCAGGTGCACCATTTTCTCCCTTAGTCACCTCCCTTTCAACCTACCCCCTGCTTATTAGATATTTTAAACAGGGTGTGTACTTCACAAGTCACATGTTTTCAACAGTGCCTTTATGCCTGGGTTAAGTCAACCAGATACTTTGAAAGCCCAAAGGTTAATTTTCCCAACTAAATTCCTCACATATCAAAGAAGGATCAAACATTTATTTTGACTGAGAATTGTGCACAACTCTTCCCAACTTTCCAAGTCCCTGCTCTCCAAAACTTAACTGTCTAGTAATTCTTCAACTTTATGATAATCCTTCAACTAAAATCTTGAAATCACGGTAGAAATACACAACACAGTTCTAAAAAAACAACCATATAGTAAACAAGTCAGAAGAATTTATTTTGAAAGTAGGAAGTAAAAGGTATGACTAACATTGACAATAGGGACAAAACTAGAAAAAGTTAAACTACAGAAAAGGCTGAGTACTGCAAACTGGCTTAGTGGTCATACAATACAAACAAGCAAAACCCAAGTTTCTCTTTCATGCAAATAAACACGCAAGGGAAGAATATGGTAATGTTACAGAATAGGTCACAACAAATACTTTAAAAATTTACACAAGATACTGTACATAAATGAAAAAAATAAATTAGACCATTTACAAGTAATGTTTCATAGATTATAATAGGTTATAACTTAGTTTATTATGAATAAAATTTGCAGCACATTATACATTTTTACAGCAAAGATTCAGTGTTAGGAGAATTCCAACATGACAAAGCTTAGGCCTGACAAGAACACAGTAGACACAATAAGGCAACTTAAACCGAAATGGCTTGTTTAAGTAAAACGAACACTTAAGAACACCTGGGTATAATTTGGTCAGTAACTGGGCAGAATGAGGCCTTTCATTCAATTCCAGTTAAAAAGTCAGTATCTCACTGTATTTCAAATAAAAAGCAAAGTTTATATAAATGACAAGACCACTTTAAACATGACTTGTATCCAAAATCCATTCACTGTACTTGGACAGGCTAGTGATATCAGGTCTATAGTTTCCCTTTGTTTCTCAATACTATGAACTTAAGTGCCACCAAGAAAACAGTGGCAGACTTTGAAATGGCTTAATATCTGTGATACCTTCTGACTATGCTAGGTACAGTATCTGGAGGATTCAGAGATGGAAAGCTGAATTAATCTCCCAAGATTTGCAGTATTTGTGTATACTTTGCAGATGATGTAAAAGCTAGTTTTCTCTGAAAGCTAGTGGAATGGTAAGTACTGCTAAGTAGGAAAGACTTTAATAGCCAACAAATAATCAGCAGTGTCTTAAGAATTAAACTTTAATTGCACAAATAAAGAAAAAACAATTTAAGGTCATTATTTTGTAATTTCCCATTCTTTTACACATAGTGTTAGTTGCACCAGAAAAACTAAATCTTTTATCCTTTAGAGGAGCCAGACTAAATATCTTTTCTCGAGTAGAAAAAAAATCAATTTTCTCTCAAACACATCATTTACTAACTATAGTAACTAAGTTCCGCCATCAATTCATTGCTACAGGTGTTTCAAATAGAAAGTTGGGGATGTCAGACACATGTCCAATTTGATCGTTCAAGAAAAGGACAAAAATATTCTAGGTCTTCAGCATTATTTGTGGATGGTTAATCCATGATATTTCACCTTGCTTGCAAGTAATTAAATTGTGTTTTATAAATCTTGCTACAAATTGTGTTCAACAAAGCAGTAATTTCAGAAGGGGGTTTAATGTCATATCTGTTCTCCTAAGTTGAAAAAAAGCGTCAGTAAAAAACCCAAATGTAATATTCAAACATCTATGAATTTAGTGGAATATTTGTCTGTACAATGGAAGTTATGCCTATAATTTTGATGTTAACACAATAAAACTTCTAGATTACTGATTTAAATACACACTTGACTATACATAATAAGCCAATATTTAAGGTACATATTACTTGGCTATTCTGGGCAGTAACATGTTATGACTACTGCAGCATTATAAACACTAATCTGCTGGTTTGGTGAGGACCAAAACCTAGTATTGATCAACGTAGCAAAAGAACCTGATAACTGGATCATTTTCTGCTATCATAATTCAACAATCCTCTTATTTTAAAAACGAAGAAAATAATTAAAAATATTCCAGTTATTTTACAAATTAAGAAAATAATTAAAAATATTCCAGTGGCCACTGCTACTTCTAATGTAATACCAAATTATGATACCCTCTCACTTTGAAATAATATGGACTGTTATGAAAACATTAACTTTTTGAAAGGAGAAATTACTTAAAATTTAGATCTGGCTGAAAAGATGAAATACTTTTTTATAATACCACTATTTTAATGTGATTTTTATATCAAAATATTTGAAAGGAAGGAAAAAATTCAATTTGGGGGGACTTTATTACTAGGTATAGTAGAAAATGTAAGACAACTACTATCTCAGATACTGAAAACAGTAATATAAAGGATATTTTTCTAAGATCATCTTAGAAACAAAGCTGGTTTAATTCCTTCAGTATTAATAAAACATTGAACTTACTTGGAAAACAGGACATCATTTACATTTTATGGCAAATCATCTTAAATAAAGTGATAGTATTACAAAAATGCAACATATTTTCTATTTTTACACAAACCACAAAACAGTAAGTTAAATATAAAATAATGCACATTTTTCTGATTATCCTTTAAGTTTTTAAATGGCTTTAAGAGAATTTCTAAACTACATCTTCGAATGCTCAAGCCTAAAAAGCATAAAGTGCTCAACAGAAAAATACACTAAACAAATTATGAAAATTTTTGCACATAACAAGTGTGGTTATAAAGACCATTGGGAAACTATTGTTAAGCTTTCCACCCAAAAATGCAATGTTAGAAATCAAGGCAAAATGTGATGGGCTGCTCTGAGAAGGCAAGAGAATTGCTGGACATAGAGGAAAAAGCTTTCCCCTTTCAGCTGCATCTTTTTGCTTATAGAAATGGACTTTTAGGAACTTTATAATACAGCACATTTACTATACATGCAAACGTTAAAAAATTCAGGAACCTCTTGATATAGTGCAGTATTTGGCAAATAATCTGAAACTCTTAAAGGGATTGTCAATTACCATGAGTATTACTGGCAATGGCATTGACTTAAACACTGAGTCCACCTACTTACAGAGTAGCTGAGCAAGGAATCCCGTTTATAGGCAAGCAAAGTCTGCTTATACTTTCTCTTCAGAGAAGGTATAGAACTGAGTGTGATTAGTTCTAAGTCTCTAGTTAAAAGGCAGTTTTAGGGGGAGTGTTAGAAATTCCAGGTTTGTGATTTTTTTTTTTTTAAACCTAGTTTCCCCCCTGCCCAACGAATAGTGCTCCTTGAACTCGTAAATATTTTATCGTGTTAAGAATGAATACTGAATCCAAAAGTTTTAACTGTGTATAGAACTCAGTGAAGATTAGAAAGGTGAATTTTTAGTCTTTCAAACTGGCTTCTTTAAAAAAAAAAAAATAACTGGTTCTCAAAGATCAATTACTTAAGGTAAGGGATGACATTTAAAGCAATGGAATCAAACTTCAGTGAAGGAAATACACATCTTGGAGACTGTTGCACAGTCAGAATGTAGTGGGCAACTTGGTCAGTACCTTGGAAATGTGATAAACACACTATGATGAGATAGCAGAATGCAACTTAGGATATTTTTGGAAAGGTCAGACAGAAAGCTTGTCTGTATAAAATAAATGAGCCACATAATTTACTTTTTGTGTATGTTAACTCTTACATTTTTTTCCCCCTTACATATTCTTTAAAAAAAGCCCATCTTTCTAAAATTTTTAGTGGATACATGATAGTGTTCATTTTACAAGCTAGTTCTAGAACTGTGTTGTCTATTTAATTAGGTAGCCACTGCCACATGTGACTATCAAAATGTGATCAGTCTATGACATGTGTTATAAATACAAAGGGTTGAAGTATCTTGTGAGTAACCTTTTATATTAGTTATATGTTGAAGAAACACACACTAAGTTAAATAAAAACAATTTACATGAATTTTTACTTTTTAAAATGCTTGTTTTCACTTTTAAAACGTACCTATTAGAAAATTAAAATTACACATGGCTCACATTTTATTAGCCAGCAATGTTCACAAGCACAGAGCTTTGAAACATTATTTTGACTGGGCTTCAAAATTAATCTTAATGTAGGCTTACATGGCATTTCTTGATCATAAGAAAAACTAGAATCTTGGCAGCTTTTATTACAATGTTTTCTTATTTATACTATATCCTTGATTATGAATAAGAAAAGCCAAGACCAACAATAGTGAGACAGCTGTTCACTTTATATGCAGTTTGGCAAGTAATATCAATTTCCAAGTATAGAATATAGGAATTACCTCCCACCCCCACTAACCAAAGTATATACCAAAAAAAAAAACCACCCCTTAAAACAGCCATTTCTTCCTTTTTTAAAGACAGCCTATAACTATAGCTGTTCACAATGTACAGCAGTTTGCCATAGGTATATAACTCAAAATTACTAAAAACAAAAACAAAACAAAACAAAAAACTTTAGCACAGTTGCCTGGTAACATTAACTTTAAAATAAAATGAACAGATGGTACTGACAGGCATACTTAGTCATCACAATGGAAACATCAAAGAAATGTTTTGTCACTGTAAGACAAAAAGACTTAGTGATTTGATTCAAAATTCCAGAAAACTACCTTCATTATGTTTTGCCTTCCAATCATTAACTCCTATTATTCATAAAACCAAATTTTAATTATTTGAGCACAAAATTTGAAAACTCCAAGGAGAAATCTTTGTCAAGCACCTCTTGATAATCTACTGAAAACTGCTCTCTCTGGAGCAAAATTTGGTCTATCGAAATACTTCTTTCTTTTATAATGTAAACAAGTTTTAAGCTTCAAATTATATCCAGACTTACTGGTAACTCAAGGGAGCAAATACTTTTAGGAAGAAGAGTAGTGAAGAGTGTTGCATGAACAACTTTGTTGAATTACTGGACTTTCAAATCTAACTGCCAAAATGAAAACGAAAAAATGCTAACATAAGAAATGACATAAAAATGGAGAGCAAGTATCAGGACAAAGGGTTTATAAATTTTGGAACTAAAATGCATCAAACTTTGATACTTTTCCAATTCAGCAATACTGCCTCAAAAATTCAATATATTTTTAGATTCCATAATGCTGATTAGAATGTGATTTTTGTTGCTGTTCATAAAAGAATAGACTTTAACTTTGATGGCTTAAGTTTGAACCAGAGATAAATGTGGTATAGAAAGATCTCGGATTTCTGTCAGTGCACTCAAGCCATATTCCATTACAATTTCTAGGACCTCACTGAATGCACTTTCAAATAAAATAATTATAGCTCCAAATTAAAAAAAAAATTACTTTAAAATGAATTAATTCAAAATATGGATATGCAATGTCACCAAATATGTGTACTTTTGAGATTTGTTTTATGACTCACGCTATATTTAACAATAGTGTTGGCATTAATAAGGTGGTATTTCTGGGGAAAGATCACAAACATGCTCATTTTGGTGGATATTAGGAACTCGTAATGAATATTCTCTTTTCTAGAATCACAAAGATGATGTTTGATTGCCATGTCAATTAATTTTGATACAAGGTATTATTGTCCCCTCATCAGTAATCAAACTCTTATAGAACAGACTTGTAACAAATATTCAGAATCATCTTCATGAGCTAAACATTTCCGAGACTTTTAAGATTCTGTTTGAGCATACAATATTCCAATGTTGGCTACACAGCAAAAACAAAACCTTTCTAGGAGGAAATTTAATAATCAGAGGCTGTATTGCATTTTAGGATTTAACACTGGATATATACAGAGGGAAAGCATTTCATCTAGAAATACTTTAAATGTTATGGAGCTCTCTTAATGTGGCAACATTCAGCAGCTACCATTTTGACATTTAGAAATCAACAGTAATAGCACTACTCTTTTATCCTTTGGTTCCCAGGGACAAATAACGCAGTAATGATGCCTCTGGTTTCCAATTCCTCTTGAATCGCATTAGCAGAGAAACCCAGTATTTCAGCTGAAATTTGGTAATCCAAGAAGTGCACCAACTGCTCCAAAGTATCCCTGTATAATTTTAAAACAATTATTAATATAGTGAAGCTTTAAAGTAACATACAAACAGCATAACAGGACAAATATTTATGTAGAATCAGTCTAAAAACAACTTATCTGTCTTGTCAGCTCTTATAAATATTTCCCCCCGAAACTATATTCTCACTATATACTTTTGGAATACATATTTTTAAAGCTTTTAAAACACAAGCTTTGAGGACTCCAAGCAATTTTCTGCACATCTCCCCTTTCCTCAAACTTCCTCTGGCTCTGCCTGACATTCTCACAGCATCAGGCATACCACACTGATCTGGGCAGTGAGAGCAGAGACAATAAAACACTAAACTCTCTAAGAGGAGAGCACGTACCCTAAATCCGTGTTCATAAAATCGAACAAGACTTCTATTTCTCTGACTTGAAACAAAATGTTCAAAATTTACTTAATCCAAAACATTTATAAGAACAATTTACTCCCACCAGAAATTAAGACTATTAAGACTAATAAAAAATAAATCTTGAATAATAGATTTCAAAATGCTAGCAGGTGACCTGTGAAGAAGGCTGTGTTGGAAGCATTAAGGAGAATTCCCACTGCTATATTAGTACTTTTGTACTTTTCCACATTTAACATTTTTTATTTTGGGAGGAAAAACAGTGTATCAAATCACAATAATGACACAGCCCAGTATCTGAAGAATTCCTAGACTTGCTATTGCCCTCTTGGTCAAAAATGAAATCCTCATCTTTGTGGGATGCTTAGAGGTTGCAATATCTTGTTCCTTCCAAACTGACTATGGCAAGAGAACCAATATACTACTTAGGTAAACTGTAATTTTTGTTAACTTTTATTCATTTATTCATACAGAACTGGGGTACAGGCCAGAGATGCAGAGGGTGAGAGGATTCATCAGAGACAGAGTGGGGAGCAGAACAGGCAGACTGACGAAGTACACTGCTGAGGGGAGCAGCGGGCGTGTCAGGAGAGTTCTGCCGTACCTTGTGGATCTCCTCCAGGGCAGGCAGGGATAGAACTCATGTGTGACTTAAGCTTCTTAGTGCTGTGCTTTAATCAGCTGTACCACCAGAGAAGGCCTAATTTTTATATTTTCAAGGGAAGACTACGAAGTGAAAATCACATGGAAAAGCATTAAAAGTTACCTTTTTTTTAAAATCATACCTCATGCTCTAGAAACAATGCTTTCAGTTGACCTTTTGACCAATAATCCAGTGCATATGCCAAAAGTTTCATTGAGAGAGTATTGACACGTAAAAAGTTCCCAACAAAGACAACTCTGTTTATTTTCTAGGACAAAACAAAGGAAAAGAAAGAATTCTTGAGTAAATTTTACAATACTATAGGGTTTGTAAAAGCTCTACTTCAAAATATAAACCATTAATTTCTTTAAGTAGCTACTAGGATTTTTGGTACCTATTGTCCATATATTCTAGAATATTTAAAATCACTTCTGCACATGCTACATTATTTGTTAAAACCCACAGTATGTATACTGAGCGAGCCCAAACATAAGCTATGTACTTTGGGTAATAATGTGTTACTATAGGTTCACTGATTGTAACAAATATGCCACTCTGTGCTGTAAAGCCTTTGTACCTGTAGGGCCAGGGATGTATAGGAATCTTCTACTAAAAAAAAAAAAAAATCATGTACGCATACAAGAACTAGGGTACAGGCTAGAGGTAAGGGGGTAAGAGGATTCACCAAAGACAGAGTGGGGAGCAGAACAGGCAGATGGACTGAAATACACTGCTGAGGGGAGCAGCGGGCGGGTCACGAGAAGTCTGCTGCGCCATGGGGGTCTGCTCCCTGGCTGGAGATAGAACTGCTGCAGTGGCTGCGAACAGTTTCATAGTGCTGTGCTTTAACCTGTTGTGCCACCGGGGAGGGTCCTGGAATTCTCCGTACTTTCTACTCAATTCTGCTGTGAGCTTAAAAAATATCTGTCTCTCTCTTTTTTAAAAGTTCTGAAAAGACTCTAGGTTAGTGATAATTGCCCCCTACTTTAATGTTACTGAGAATTTTCTTCGAGACACGTCTTTGAAAACAGCCAAGAAATAAACCATTTAACAAAGTAAATGGGAGAGACACAGATGGGCTTATACGAGACTAACTTTAAAATCTACTTTACAAATATGTTTAGATAAAATACGCTGTAACATGGCCAGCATGTTGCACTGTATGCTACAAAATGAAACACAACCCAGAGCTGGCGAGCAACACTGACAGGCGATTTGGCGTGTACACCCAAGCCCTGGGGCTCAACACACCCCGTCCCCAGTCTAACACATCAAATCACTCTGCTAAAATTCCACTAATTTGATTCTTAAGTACTTAAATGACTAGGAAATCTCAGATGTATAACTAATAATATGAATCTTCAGAAAACCTATTTCTACACTTAAAATATATTCTCAGCCTAGGTTAAGACGAGTTAGTGGCTCTCTCAACCAATTCACTACACTACACTAAGGATATCATGGCTTTAAATATAAAGAAATTCAGTGGATTAATATGGGTCTCTGCAGTTGGAATCCGTTAGAAAGAAAACTTCCCAATTCATGTACTGACAGTTACAAAAATGGGCAACCAAGTTTATAACATGAATGCAGAATGGTATGGTTTCCTTCAAGGAAAATAACCCAATTTGAGGTAAATCTAATACTAAGAGGCTTTGCACAAATATGTATCATCCAAATTTCATGTGAAGAACAAATCTCAATGCCTTCATAGCCCTGTACAATGCTGCTTGATCCATATGCAACAAGGCAGCACTGTAAAGAAGCCGAGGGCAGTAAGAAAATTTCCATTTAACAAAGCTTCACCAAATAAATGCAACATTAACAGTAAAACAAAAACACAAACTTTCACTCAGAAGAAATTTTCTACAAGAAATTTTAGGTATGCAATTTTAAAAAAGGTTTCTGGTTAAGTAAGATATATTTGTGCTCTTTTGGTTTTGAATTATCTGCTACTTTAACAGTGATCTAACAAGTAAATAACAGACTTAACAAGCCTTAATGAATTAGGAGATCTCAATCATAAAGGACCTTAAGGAGCTCTGTAATCAGTACATAAGACCCCAATTCAGTTTTTTTTTTTTTTTTACCTCATTAACTGCACACATTCGTGCCACAGAACCGATGTTATTGGTGATAGTAACCAAAGTTGCTCTTGCAAGATCTTCTTTGCTAACAGATTCTCGTTTCTCCTTATAAATCATATTCCCAAAACTGCAAAGAAATGAAAACAAATCAAGTTTGATATCAACCTCTCAAACTTTTTGGTCATTTTGTTAACTGATCCCTCAGATAAATATATGCATGCAGAGTATAAGGTGTGCTAAGGTTACTCACTGCCCTGTGGAACTATACATAGTGAAATTCTAGAAACCCAAACATCCAGCAAACCATAGTACATATACATGGGAATACCATGAAACCACTCACAGAGGAGGGGCACAGTAGTGGGGGAAAGGAAAGAAAATAAGAAGCAGAGAGCTATACTGCTGTTGGTGAATATATGTAGTATGCCAGATAACAGCACATAAAATATGGTACCTTCTACATATGAGAGAAAGTATTTGTAATTGCAGTGAGGTACACTGAAAGGGCACTCAAGAACAAAAAGGTTTCCTGTAGGGTAGGTGCAGGGTAGACTTCTTGATGTATATTTGATTTTAAGCTACAAGAATATTCCAAAGTTGGAAGGCATACTGGGTAAGAGGGAAGCACTCTACAACTTCCTGAAACTATTTTTCCAAAACCTAAGAAGCAATTTAAGTTAAATGTTAAACTTACCTAGATGCTACAGCCCAACCTGGCAGACCAAATCTTTCATAATCTCCTCCATAAATATCACGGACCAACTTGTCAGCTTGGGTGCTGTCACCTTTAGATGCCATTTCAAGAGCCTCTTCAAAACTTTCACAGCCAGTCAATAAACCGCATAAACCCAGGAAGGTACCCCCTCCAAGACTAAAGTAAATAAAAAATCGATTAGTTTCAATTACACATTGTATTTTTTCCACAAAGTGAAAGCCCAGAGCATTCATTTATTCTACAACACACAGAATACATTGCTACTATAAAAAGCTAAAGTATTCTCATAATGAAAATAAGAAAAATGCAGAGGAAGACAAAACTTGTCAGATCAAAGAAATAAACCTGAGGGGTGGGAGAACCACTTGTTAGGGATTTTTAAATGGTCTCCAGGAAATGCTTGCTTGGCTTGACAGGACTGAAATCAACTGAATGTGATACATTAACATTTACATGATCTAGAAGTCAGTAGTGTGAAGACATTTATGTCAGGCTGGTTATCATGTTAATTACAAATTTATTTGGCTTTATTCTTTTGGATATACTTACAAGATGAAATTGTTTTTTTGATCCAAAAATCCACACCTTTGTTCCCTGGTCTCACCTAAATTCTGACAAGTTCTGTCCCTGAATCACCATTGAAATTTATTAACTTTCAGAAACAAGTGAAAGAGGTAGTTATTTCCTTTTAATTCCAAGGCAGTGTTACAAAGGAGGTTGGTTTTTGGCCAGAAATAAATTTAGGATCTCCAACCAACTCAGAAACACAAGGAAAATTTAAATCTCACATTTCAGTTTCATATTTCAGGTATTATGGAAAAACTGCCAATATTCAGAACACTACTACTACCCTATAAAGAAGCTCATCTTAATTTATTGTATAAAATCACAATGTTGCACAATTCTGCTATTTAAAATGTGAGCTGAAATCAGCCTGTGGCAAATTTTAGGCTTAAATATAATAAATCCTCATGTAACATCCTGGATAGGTTCTTAGAAAATGTGAGATTAAGTGAAAGGAAATATAAGTCCTCAAATAACTTGGCAGCGATTTGTTTTTTCCCATCAATACTCAGTCTGTTATCTGTATAGAACTATATGGAGAATGAGAAAAATGCTCTGGAAAATAGTAACTCTGTAGAATCATTTCAAGTAAAAGCCACTCTTTACCAAGGACCAAGGAAATCTTGATGTCCTTTACATACATACCTTGTAGTCAGTATTGTATGCAACACTGTAACTTACACATATACACTTTTTGCTGCTGTATGTTATTTTCCTGATGAAACTAGGACTGATTCTATAATTTCTATTTTTAAAACAAATGAGTGTTACAATAACAAAATGTTACTACCTTGTCCCAGTTACTCGTTTATAGTTGTCTTTGGAATGGACTGCTAGAATACTGACACCAGAGCCAATGTTCACTACCAGCAATGGATATGGGTCATCCAGGTTAAAAGGCATCTTTTGGCATCGCTCAGGTTCTGAGGCATTAGCAAAATAATAGCACTCTGCTTGTCCATTGAAACTGACAGAATCTATATACAACAAGCCCTTTACAAGGCAATCAAGTTCATCTAGTTTGTGCAGGTGGAGGTTTCCAATCTGTAAAACATAAAAAAAATTGTAAAGTGAACAAAGGACAGCATTCAAAATATGATTTAACTACATTATATAGTTAATGTACTTTACAAACTTCAGTCATCTAAATCCTCACATTTTCCACTGTTATGTGTTCAAAAACCTAGTCCACTGGTTCTCTGGTGGTACAATAACCTTTGAAATCATTTCAGAAATCTGTGAGGGTATTTTTGCTTCCACAGGAGTGGAAATACCAAATTCATATTAAGTGGGCAAATACCCTCTATTTGCAATAGGTGAGATAACAAAAAAAAAATCCTGTTCCTGTATTCCTTTTGAGTATTTGACATGTCTTTTCTTTGCAAGTAACAATGGGGAAATATATTTTTAATTATCTGAGCCTATAGAAACACAAAACATTTTATCTGTATGTATATAAATACAAAGTATTCTTTGCATGACTAATATAGAACAGACACTAAGTTTACTAGGCATGTAATCACTATATAAAGAGAAGAAAATTTTGTTTCATTATGCATCTTTGTTGTGATCACACCAGGGAATTTACCTACCAATACAAAAAATAACTTTATATTATAGTTTGGGTGCTCATTTGAAAGCATTAATTTCAGATTTTAAAAATATTTGCTGCAAAAGGCTTTGGTATCACTTTTGAAGGGAACTTCTCCATTCTCTAGGATTTTTTGAGGGTCCTTCCTCTCGATTTCCAACCGCACCTCTTTTCAGGGTAATAGTACAAGGCATATGCTTTTATCTGTGTGGTGTAGAATACTGTAACTTTGAGGCCTAGGTCACTTTCTTATTTCTTCCTGGGTTCTCAGTGCTAGCTAAGACTAGCCTGACTCTAAATGTCAAATGTTGTCTAAAAAATGAGTACGAACACAAGTATTATACAACTTTATCACTAGAAAATAACACTTAAAAAAAAAAATGAGTTCTGCATCTTCAATGGCCAGATGAAAGCTGGCTCCACAAACACTGCTTTTGGCAGGAATTCTGGCAAACTGATTAGCACAAGTCCAAACCCAAACATATTGGTCTAAAATCAATGAAATTTATGTTCAAATTACTCAAACCAAATCAGATTTATCCATTAAAAGAAAAATAATTTTAATAAACTAAAACTACCCTAAATTATAAGGGGCTCATTTATTAGCTACGTCAGTGATCACTTACGTTCCATTTACAGAATTTTCTTAAAATGATGTATACTTTCTTTTTTTAAAAAGATTTATTTATTCATGCATACAGAACTGAGGTACAGTTACAGGTACAGGAGCAGTGAGAGGATTCACCAGAGACAGAATGGGGAGCAGAACAGGCAAATTGACTGAAATAAGCTGCTGAGGGGAGCAGTGAGTGGGTCAGGAGAGGTCTGCCATGCCATGTGGGTCACCTCCCTGGCTGGAATCGAACTCCTGTTGCAGTGGCTTTGGAAAGCTTCATAGTGATGCACTTTAACCTGTTTCACCACCAGGAGGGGCCTGAAATTATGTATACTTTCAAGGAAAACAAACTTCAGTAGCCCCAAACACTGACTTTTGAATCTTTATTTCAATGGAAAGGACTAAAAGGTTGGCAAAATCCTAACAGGATATATGTAACACTTGCATAGGCCACATGCTGTGTCTGGAAAAACCTCTTTAGAAACAAGTGTAGTATGGGATCGATGGTAAAAGAAAAAAAAAAAGTAAATAAAATAAAAAGGTCTTTCATTCAGGTTTCTACTAATCAAAAGACAGTAATTTTGTTTGGGGTTTGAGATGCAGATCCTAGGAAAGATGACTATATAGATAACAGAAAATTCTCAAAACCACATGGACATGATAGTAATAAAACAATTGTAGACCTCTTTGCATCTATCTGGCTTTGTACACTGCCAGAATTCATTTAAGTCTCTATTATAGCTTGTCGCAGTCCCTAAACTTAATATATTTTTACCTAATATTATGCATATGCCCAAATTTGAGAAACATTTGCTAACACTATGAAAGTATTTAAATGCCCAAAGTCGAGGCAAGTCATGAAGATAAAAGTTCCTTTGTATCATCCCTGGAAACTAATCTAAGAAACATGTGAGACAGAAATAGTTGCCTCATAGTCTAAAATGTGGAGAGAAAGGATATCAAGTTTTGACTGATCAACAGATACCTACTGTGCGAAAATCTTTTTCAAACTTATAAGCACCACCTCCTGTAGCACATAGCACCGTGTGTAATGTTGAGAAGTTTTTATCTCTTCCCATTTGGATGAAAGTAGGCAGGTCTTGGGTTGGAAATCTGATAAAGTGCAAGTTCCCTCTGCGGCCAAAGAGTGTTAAATCCTTTAGTTCTAGGTGTACATCCCGAATGCCAGTAGATCCATATGCTACATTAGAAGTCAAATACTTTCGGATACTTTTTAAACTCTCAACTTCTTCTTGCTCTTCCTCTGCAGTGATATCAATTGGTTCAAAATATGAGAGCTTGACTAGAGTTCCCCCAATATCCATGCCAAACCATGGGAAAGCTGTGAAGTTCAAAAAAAAAAAAAGGAAATAGTTAATTGGTTACAAACTTCCATCTACCCTGAATCCAGCACTCAGTCATATTACTTCTAAAGGCACATCTTCTAGGTGCAACTTACCTTCTCCCCTTCAATGTGTTAATTTGTATATTCTCTAAAAATTCTAATAGGATGCATACTAGCCCAGAGCCTTTTAATTCCTGGTCAAGCAGTCTTTCCTTTCCTGGTGCTCATACTGATTATGTGCACTAGGGAATTAATGAGAAGATGGACCACATCAGTTTTAATAAAATAGGTCATCAAATCTGTTTCTAAAAAGATACTAATGTAATAAAATTGGTCTATCACCATGTCAAGTAACCCAAGGGAAACTTGTTTCCTCGAAAGGAAATCTTTTTCTTTGCTCAATAGCATATTAGATTATTAGCTGTTAATAAAGTTGAAGGTAAGCCTACTTGGGGACAAGCACATTTGGCCAGGCAATGTTGTTTGGGTTTAAGACCCAATGCTCTCAGAAACTGGGCCACATGTCTTTTGAAAAGCCACTGATCTCCTTGAGTCTTAAGTTTCCTTAATTTCCTTTAGGAAGTCACTGAGCACCTCTTCTATTCTTCAGAAAATAGGAATGTAGTCATTTAGATAAAATTCCTGCCCCTGAGAAAAAGATAGGGGACTATAAATCCAAACATTAAAAAAAAAGGCAAAAAAAAAGTTACATACAAAGCAAAGGCCAACAGAAGGAATACTTATTAATTCTATGCCCGTTTGTCGGCAGGGATTATGAACAAAAAGAAATGAAGAGCCTATCCAAAGGAAAAGAGGCATAGTTGGTATAGTTAGTAAAGTAACAAAAGGGTTAAATAAGGCTAATGAAATAGAAGTCATGCTAGGTGACAGGTCTTAAGACTTGAACTGGCAAGCAATAGAAACACTTGATATTCTAGGCAGCAACTTGACAGTCTAGCTGCTAATCTAAAGCTTACTTAGTACAGTGTGCAAATGGACACAAGATGCTTAAGATTAAGATTGGCCTATAAAGCCTAACATTTTACATTAAGTAATCAAAATTACCTAGGTACCACTAAAAAAATAGATTGTTGAGCCAAAACCTCCTCGTAGTGTACTGGACAAGTCTTTAAAGGCAAGAGCTGGGACGAAATGCTTCTCCCAAACCCACAGGGAGAGCATGTGAGAATCCTTGCCTTAAGACACCTGATTCCTTCATGCCTTGACATTCAATGTCAAGGCTGGAGGGGAAAATCAGTATCAAATTATTATGAATTACAAACATCCCAATTCTTAGAATTTAAACACAAAGGACTTAGGTTTCTACAGTATGACATTTACTATGTGCTAATCATACACAATTTAATTCCCAAAGCTCCTAAATGGTGTCCTAGTCTGCACCACCACACAGACTAGGAAAAGCAGCAGAGATGACAAATTCCCTTACTAAGGTCAAATTTATGACAGTTAATTGTTAAGAGGCAGGATACCATTCCAGGTCTGTTTCTATTCTCCAGCATCTTAATGATTAAGATACTAAAAATAATTTTATATTTACAATGCATGGATTACAAAATGCCGATAAACAGTATTTATTTAGCAGGGTTTTTGCTATTAATGTTGTAAAGGAAAGTCAGTTCTAAACTACTTTTATTTCTTAATTGTTCCTATGTTACTTGTTGGCTACATGTGTACCATTAGAAACAAAGAGCATGATGCACAAGAAAGGATTTTGTACATTTCTCTTCAGAAAACTTTTGGAGAAATAACTCATGTTTCTATATTTGAATCCCAAGCTGCAGATCCAGATCTAAAAACAATCTTTAAAAAGATTTAAAAAAAGTAAAATGATTTAAGAACCTTGTACAATAAATCAGGAACAACCAGCAACACTAACAATTACAGAATGTTTGCTTGGATAGGCATGTTTAAAGAAAACAGTAATTTACTGATCCAATAAACAAAAGGTTCCTTGAGAATTCTCCTCATCTGATTAACAGATATGTAATTAGGAAACTTCAATGGGCAGTACAATAATAATCATTTTGGTTAGTACTATATTACCTAACCAAAATGATTTCTTTGTGCTTGATGCTTAAATCTAGATTTCATGAGGGGTGTAGTGGGCAGGATGGAAGGTAGGAATCACTATTCCCACATAAAGACCATTTTAGTATAGAAAAATTTCTGCAAGATGAGATCTATAGTGAGCTAAAAATCTTCATTTTCCAAAATATATTCAAAAAGTGTTTATAATTTCCCCTGTGTCTATCAGTATCAAACACACAGGCATCAAAATAGACATACAAATAAAATTATTACTCAAGGAGCAAACTACAAAGCTGAGACATTAACTTGGTTCAAACGTCATGCCATTTTTTTTTTTTTACTTACAGTAGGAAGACCATCTGCTCCCAGGTTTAGAAACACTAGAATACTACTTTTTTGAAAGCCAAAACCCCAATTAATACTTAAATGAAGAACTTATTTCTTAAATAAACCATGAATTATTTTTCAAAGGATTTTTACTGCTTAGGAAAATATTTCAAATTTATTGATATTGGTGAAATCACCTACTTTTCCTTTTTTAAAGATTTATTTATTTATGCATATAAGAGCTGGGATGTAGGCCAGACATGTGGCCTACAATTTTGTCTCACCAAAGAGTGAGGAGCAGAATAGGCAAACTGCTGAGGGGAGGAAAGCAGGAGAGGTCTGCTGCAACATGTTGCTTATCTTCCAGGCTGGGGATGGAACTCATTCTGCAGTAGTGGCAGATTGCTTTATTTTGCTGAGATTTAACCCCTTGTGGCACCATGGTAGCCCTGATCTGCTTCTCTAAAACCATGAATGAACTCGGTTTCTGATCCCAAAAGTATGCTAACAGCCAATTCCAAAATACTTATTTTTGAACAGGCAAGCAATAGAAAGGCTCACTGAATGAAATCCTGTTTCTGAAGCCTGCAGTAGTACATGACAGCCTTACCTGGCTTTCCCAGAGAAAGAAAAAGATTTTTAAAGTCATAATTATCACTAAGATAATAAAGAATAGCCTTCTACTGCTCCTTCCTTTAAAGAAGGCTTTTGTATTAAACCTGTTCTATCTCAGAAAGAAAACTTGTTTTCTTTGTGGCTTGCTTTCATTGCACCCTGGTTTCTGCTCAGCTGAGCCATCTACAGGTAGGACAGATGGCATCTGGCCATGTGTGGGCCAAGAAATTTTCTTTATCTTAGTTCTCCCTTTCCTTACTCCATATGCAAAAAGATCCTTTTTTTTTCTCTTTATACCTGCTTTTGGGTTTTATTCTATATTCCTAAGCATGTGGTATGGACTTAACAAAATCTGGTCATTTCTTTCTTCCAGGGGGTTTGTTTACTCCATTACAATGTAAGCCCACATACTGTTCTCCATACCAAACAGTTGCTCACTTTAGTCTTGACTCTCTTCTTCAGTTAACTCTGTAACCTTAAGTTACTGTTAAAAAGAAACAGCCAGCCCCAAATGGAGTCACTAGTGCTAAACCCCAGGTCAGCAACTCCCAAAAATGTAACCTTTAGCTGGCAAAGTGGAATTTCCTAGTCAGCAGGGATGAGGTCCGTCTTGTGTACCTCTTCCACCCCTCATAGAAAGGTTATCTTGCCTGAAACAATGATATCCTTTCCCTTCCATTGGTACCAGTACCGTTCCTTCAGAACTCTTTTCTACTTGCTACATTGGATACAGATGGATTTATTAAATGCTGAATAAAGCCAATTAGATATTTATAAAAAGTATGACACAGAAAATAAGTTATTGTATACAATTTTATTATATTGTATACAGTAAATCTCTCACTTGCTTTAAATTACATCAAATACTGAAGAATATTATAAAATGTGGATGGTAGCTAAGGCATAAAGCATCAACCACAAATTGGTGCTTCCCTGGTGGCTCAAGAGGTTAGGTTTCTACACTATGAAACTATCCACATCCACTGCCCTGGCCAGGGAGCTGACCCACATGGCACAGCAGACCTCTCCTATCTCACCTGCTGCTCTCCTCAGCAGTGTATTTCAGTGGATCTGCCCATTCTGCTCCCCGCTCTGTCTCTAGTGGGTCCTCTCAACCTCCCCATCTCTGATCTGTATCCCAGTTGTTATATGTGTAAATTAATCTTAAAAAAAAAAAAGGAACTCATAAAACAGTTTACCATTAAATTTTAAACTTTTTTTGTGATCCTCGTTTGAATATTGGACTAGAGAAAGGTTCCATTAACTTTAAATGGGAAAAAAACTAGTTTCCTTAAGTGCTATAGCCAGAGACAGGTATTTTTAATTTACAATACAAAAAAAGCCCAAATCCTCTCACACCTAGCCAGTTAGCTATAGATGTCTGTTCTTTTAAGTACTTTTCTAAAAGGGTACAACAATACTATAGTCAGACAAAGAATTTCTTAGTGATAGTTATAATATGCAAACTAGAACCAGACTTGTCCCTTTATCTTTTATCATAAAATTGTGACAGTTTTCTCATTAAAATCAGTAAAGATGAAAGAACCCAGACCCACTAGTGGCTCCAACTATTTAAAAAAAAAAAAAAAAAGTTGGTCAGCAGCCACCTTTTGCATAGAAACCCTTTCACTTCGGCAGAGTTCTGAAATTCATTTGTATGCCAGAGAAATAATCAGCATTCAGAAAATACTATGGAAGGCAAAAAGAACACAGGGACAAAATTCCTAATTACAACCCCTTCCTATCATTTAGCAAGCGGACTCATTACAGACTTATACATTCTCCAGTATATTAAGAAAACAATTATAAATTTTGTCACTGACCAAATAAGGTGGTATGGGTCTCTGATTTTATTTGCAATGAAAGAATAAAGTTAATGAGTAAAATCAACCATAGGTCCATTAACAGTTCCATGAGTTAACAAAAGCCAGTTTCCACAGCTCTTGTCCCAAGACTCCCATCTGTTTCCTTTTTTAATAAACCTATCCTGTGAAATCAGGTAGGTATCTATAGCTTTGCTGCCTCTAGATAGGTTAAAAGTATGTCACCAGTGCATAAGTAGTATACTTACGGCATATAATCTAAGCATATATTCATTAATCTTTCACTTCAGCAGAGCTCTATCAAGGTGAAAAAAATAAACCCAAGTCCACATTAAAAAACCATTTTGACAACAGATATGCATTATTGTCACCAGACCTTGAGAATTTGTCTAGACTCTCATGACAGGTATATTTGGTCTTCAAAAATAGTGCAGTCTCCCCTTAGGCTCAGTTTCACTGTCTGCAGTTCTGGTTACACAGTCTAAAACTATTACACACAATTAAAATAACCTTGAGAACAAACACATTCTTTCAGTGTAACTGTTCTATTTTCCTGTTGTTAATCTTACTGTGCCTACTTTATAAACTATCACAGATACACATGCATAGTAGAAAACTATATATATATAGGACTTGGTACGATTCTAGTTTGGGAGACTCTATATACAATTATTGTGTATTTCTGTCCTAGGCCTATGAGAGCTATGGTTTTTCCAGTAGTAACATAAAATGCTATCAAGATTTCTCTTACCAGACTGATTATTAATGCAAGAAAAAAATCTGCAAGTCCAATCATATTTTTCAGTGATTAAAACAGCATCTGCAGAGGCAGAATGTGAATTTCCAATTTGTTATAAAAGTTTGGTCAAGCTAAGTGTTGGTAAGAGAATGAGGAAGCATTAAAGAACTATTTAGTTGCTATGGTCTCATGCAGATTTCACCCCCAAAGGGCTCCTCTGCCAAATTAAGATTAAGATAACGGGAAGCCAATTGTATAAAATGTCAAAACATTAGTAGAATATTTTAAAACAAGGATGTGCACTGGCAAATTCCACATAAGCTTTAAATTCTTGGATGAAAGACATTTCACTTTTCCAGACAATCATTCCAAGTAAAAGTGCTGGTGTTTTGAAACAGACTATAAAAATAAGCATCTTCATAACTGCAAAATTATAATCCCTTAGAAAACCTTTATATAAATTTCTTTAGTGGACTAGTTACATCTAAAGGAAAATAACAGAGGAACTAGTATCTCTGGGCCCTCACTGGTGGCACAATGGGTTAAAGCCCAACACTGCAAACCAGCATCAGCAGCAGTGGGAGTTCAATCACTAGCCCCAAAGGTGATCCATGGGCATGACAGACCTCTCACCTCTTGACCTGCCTGCAGTTCTCCACTTTCTCTGGTGAATCCTCTCAACAGCCCCTGCACCTCTTGGCCAGTTCTATTTGCATAAATAAATCTTAAAACAAACAAACAAACAAAAAACAAAACCAATACCTCCAAATACATCTTATTATCTACTAAAAGTTACAATTTTAAAGTGACTGACTAGACTACAAACAGAACACTCAAGTTATAAAGGCAAACCACATATATATATGCTGTATACTTCTCTCTTGTCTTGACCAAAAGCTTCAAGTACCTTATTGTTTATACTAACAATACACAAACTCAGAAACTTATTTTTAATCAAAATATAAACCTCTTTTAATATCAACCTTGTTAATTCACATGCCACACTGGTAAACAAAATACAAGTTGAAAAACCTCTACCCTAAGAAATCATGTCAGCTGAGGGGCATAGGAACACATAATCATTTGGGTTTGTTTTTTTTTTTTAAAGATTTATTTATTTATTCATACAGAACTGGGGTACAGGCCAGAGGCTCAGGCGTGGTGAGAGGCTTCACAAGAGACAGAGTGGGGAACAGAACAGGCAGATCTACAAAGTACACTGTTGAGGGGAGCAGCAGGCCGGTCAGGAGAGGTCTGCCACACCATGTGGTCACCTCTGGGGCAGGTGAGAATAGAACTCATGGGGAAGTGGCTTTAGCTTCTCAGTGCTGTGCTTTAACCCGCTGCGCCACCAGGGAGGGCCTCATTTGGGTTTTTAATAATAAAGTAATGTTAAAAACTTTAGTAAAGGCAGTACAAACACTGCCATTGTTTTGGTTCTTTATTTTTAGTACCAGAAATTTTTCATCAGTGCTTGGCTTCTACTTCCTCTAGAGTTGAATTAACAAATTTAAAAAAAGATTTATTTGTGCATTCAAGAACTGGGTTACAGGCCAGGGGTGCAGTGGGTGAGAGGATTCACCAGAGACAGAGTGGGGAGCAGAACAGGCAGATGTACTGAAATACACTGCTGAGGGGAGCAGTGGGAGAGGTCTACTGTGCCATGTGGGTCACCTCCCTGGCCAGGAGTCGAAATTGTGCTGCTGCAGAGGCTGTGGGTAACTTCATAGGGCTGTGCTTTAACCCCATGTGCCACCAGGGAGGGCCCCTGAATTAACAACTTTAAATGCTAATCTTTCTTTAAAAATCTAGAGAAGGAAACCAATTTTAATTTTCTAGCTATGTAATTTGAAAAGGATGATGGTTCTAAAAGCAATGCTTTCTAACACTTAAGTGAGTAGTAATGTGGGAAACAAGGCACTTGTTTCAAAAGTATGCTAGTTTCTTCTAAAACAGTTACAAGAGTTGTTACAAGGGTTAAGTGATGCAATGTGTGTAAAGAGTACCTTACACATACAAAGTGCTCAATAAATGATTTATTAAAAGAATCCTACCCCCCCAGAAAAATTCGATTTTCAAAAACAAATTTAGCTAACCTTAATAGCTAAAAGAATTAGAAATAATACCTTAGAAAGATAAATATTTCCCAGATAGTTCAGTTTGAAATATGTTCCCATGTGTTAAAAAAAGATGTTTATTTTTACCAAAAAGAATTGAGTAGTCAGTAAAATAACTTTTACATAGGAAATCTAAAATGTAATTTTATGTCATATTAACTTAAATCTTTTAGCATTATTCTATTTTGGCAATGTTATCATCACAAGTAGTAACAGGCAACTTGAAAAATACTTCTCAACTTAATGCTTATAAACTTTTCATTATCTTTTTGGAAATACAAATGTAGTTATGCCTGGATTACTAGTTTGCCCAAACCCAAGTAATCAAATAATCCTGACAGAATGAAAATAGTTAGGAATGTAAGATTATTACTTAGCTCACTTTACTAACTGGAAACTAAGACAAACAGAAATGTATATGTAAAGGAAGATGTCCAAGAGTTCTACATTAGGGCATCAGTTCAAGATTAATTTTAATAAGTAAATGTAAACAAAGTGTTTCTTTTATACTGTTATATAAGTCTTCAATTAACTATTTTATAGACTCCTAAAACAAGAACTCTTCTGTTAGCACAAGAAATCTTTTTTTCTTAAACTGGCAGATAAAATTCTCAAGGTATTTAGACAATGCCCTATGGGGGCAAAGAAAGAACCCTGGACTATGAATCAGGGTTTTAGGGCCCTGAATATCATTAACAGAGTAGGTAGGTAAAGCCTTGAAAAAGTTATTCTGAGGCTCAGTAAATTAAATTAAGGCAGAATACTCTTACATTCAATTAACAATTAGCAGTTTTTAAAGTGCACATTTAGTATGCTGCCTCTCCCATGAGGTTTATTAGAACTCACATAAGCTGGCAGGGAAGGTGTCAGTGCTGATTTACAGCAGATTTCTTAGAATTATTGGGTGCATCACAGAAGACACTATAAAAACTGCAAAGTATCAATAGAATTCTGTGATAGAAGCATGCATCCCCACATTTCTAGAAACGCGGCAAGAACTGATAATAGCAGTGGTTAAGGGATCAAATAAGTCATTTATAGAAGTAAAGTTTTCAAAACCCTAAAGATAGAAGTAAATGAAAGTTAATCTGCTCTCTTAAAGAATGAAAAGAAAGATGTTTTTTGACTACATGCAAAAAAAGTAGATGCAGATGTAATCGTAGAAAGATTTTTTTGGATAGTCACCAAATCATTAACAGGGGTTTGCTCCAAGTGGTAAGGAACAACATAGGTATTTTATTTTTTGTTGGCATTTGGTTTTTAAAACACGAACCAGCTGTTATTCCAAACAAAAACAAGACAATAATCCACGGGCAGGTTACCTACCTGCACGTGCATTTAAAAGCTCAGATTCCAACAGTGATAACACCAAGGAACCCACTAGGATTTCAAGGACACAAGCAGAAAGCTCAGAAATTAGTAAATAGGAAAAAAAAAAAAAGGGGGGGGGCGCAGTTTTACAGCCTCAATCACCTATTTTCAATTAGACTTGAGACGAAGCTGAGGAACATGACTATTAGCTCAAACCTCACTTGGCAAAACCCAAATCAAAAATTCCCTCTCGCACCTCTCACATCATGAGGAAGTGGAAGAAGCCGCGGGGAGGGTGATAGGCCTTTGCCCGGCTCGGACAGAAGGATGCGAAGGGAACCTCGAACCGGTTGCTGAAATGGTTGGTCCCTCCTCCCCTATCCCGTGCAGGCAACGCGGGCTTGCAGCAAGGCCGCTCCGCCAAGAGGCTTCCAGATGGGGCCCGAGGGTGCTCCCCCAACCCGGCGGGCCCAAGCCCCCATCTTACAGGGTTTCTTGGCATCCTTGATCTTCATGGCGTCGGCCTGAGGGGCGAGGGGAAGCCTCGGATCCGGAGGGCAGAGGGTGGTGGCAGGGACTCCGAGGGTGGCTGGGCTGTGCGTAGAGGGCCCTGCGAGGCCTCCCCGATTCCTCCCCTCAGGCCGGGCGGGGCGGGCCTAGGGCGGGGCAGCGGCGCCTGGGGCAAGGCCTGGCCCAGGGGGCGGCCCCCCACCCCAGCGAGGAGCGGCCGGACCTAGCGAGCTGGGGAAGGCCGCCGACCTCGCCGCTCCGGGGGGGGCCCCCCCACAGCCGCTCCTAACAAAAGGCCGGGGTCCCCCAGCCGCTGCCGCCACCACCGCCGCACTAAGAAAATAGCCCGCCCAAGCCAAGCGCCCACGTGATGCAACCCGCACCCTCTTCTGTCTCCGCCAGGCAGCTGGGGATTGTAGTTCTTTGGGTGCTAATCTCCGGCTCTCTGCCTGTAGCTGCGTAGATGGACTACAAAGACCAGGATGCATTGCAGTCCTTTCTTGCAGGCCCCTCGGCTTCCGGAGATCGCCTCAGAGTGGTCCCAGAGGGAGGGGGCGGGGCCTTAATCACGCCAGCCACGAGATGACCAATGGTCGCTGAGGTGGGCGGACTGCGGAAGTCGAGGCGCAGGTCTCACCTCTAGAGATTGAGAATGGAGCTCATCACAGGTACCGACTGTCATGGCTGTCGTGGTAGTCGCCACGTTACCTGGAGGCAGGAAATCTGGTCGTTGGGCATAGAAGTCACGACTAGGGGTTCTGAGGCTGCTCTTTTGACAGATTTTCCAGTGCATTTGTAAATTGAAGTCATTTACAAAGACAGTACAGATCCCTCTAGGCTTGGAGTTGAATGGTAATGAATGATAATGGCAATAATAGGAAACACTTATTGAATGATTACCATGTACCTGAAAGTACTTTTTGTGAGTAATTCCACAGCTTTGAGAAATACTTAAAATTATTTATTTTATTATCTAACACTGAACTTGGAGATGCTGCAGTATCTGATATGTTAAATCACTTTCGATGCACATGCTTTTTACCACGGTTCCAAGTTCCCTTTGGCCCTGAAGCCCAATTTTCTTCTTTCAAGAAGAAATTAATTCCCAGAGGGGACAGTTACATGCTCCAATTCTCATGGAAAGCCAGGACACTACTTTCCTTATGCTTCCTATAGTCTCTACCTGAAACAGGAGAAAGATGACATTAAGGGTCTTCTGTACCCCCCTCCAGTTAGCTGACCAGGAATTTAGTGACTTTGACAACAAAGGGTTGTAGGGTTAGCCAAGGGCTGTAAATGGCTAAAGGACACAAAGAACCCTTTAGCACAGCATTTGCTAAGAGCCAGGCAGTTTGTCAGGTGCTTTACTAACTTTTAAAATTTAATCCTCACAGCTACCCTTTGGAATGTAATGATAAAAAAAACTCAAGGTGAGTTCACTTGTCGGTCCTATAATTTGATAACAAATTACTTTGCCTTTCTGATTCTCACTGGAAATAATGATAACCTACATTTCATAGAATTGAGAAATGGATTGGATGAAAGAAGGCATTATGAAGTGCTACCCTCATTGCCTGGCATATAGTTAGTGTAAGAATAATGACTCATATATTCTTACTCTACAATTAAAAAAGGTTAACTTTCTAGATTCTGCCCAAGGCAACTGGACCCAAGATTGGACCCCCATTCTGAGTGGTGATTTTGTGGTTTCTGGTTATTTCTGTCCCAAATTCCACATTTGTTGTGTAGAAATGTATTTATTTTTACTTTTTATAGAACATTCTTGATTACTTGGTGTCCTCCATCCTCCATGTTAGACGTAACCTTCTTCTCCTCTTTTTTCTCCTTTGTCACTGCCTCCCACCCTGAACCCTAAGTATTCTTAAATGGCTGTTTTCCCAGTTTTATTGGGTAGGTCATTATTTCTGATCTGAAATTACTTCAAAGAGTCACCACCTTAACACCATGCACCCTCTGGTTCTCTAAACCTCCTGTGCACTCTCTGTTGTCTACCAACAGTTATCTTTTGGTTGTTTCCTGCCTGATTCTGATAGCATGAACTTGGAAATCAGAGGGGGAAGTGCTACAGTACTGTAAACTATTGTTATTGCCACTTAAAAGGGGAGGATGGTTTGGGAAGAGGGAAGTGATACATATCCCTTGTGATAGGCGGGCCATGGACCAAGAGGAAGAAGAGCTAGAAATGAGAAGCCATAGGAAATTGAGTTTTGGATACAAGCCTTTTTAGTTTTATTGGTCAGAGGGGAGCATATGCATGCTTAGCTTAATTTAGCTGAAGCTAGGTTTAGACCTATGATAGTATGTGCCAGATAAACTCCAAACTTTGTGAGAATCCTCAACTGCAGTCAGCCATGGAATTTCTTTGTGGTCCCCGGAAAGTCCTTTCTCTTCTCTGGTTCAAATTACCCATCTGTAAAATGAAATGATTGATATTTCTTCTAGTTCTGAATATTGAGCTGCACTAAAATGTCTTTTTCAGAAGAAACATGTGCCCAACTATGTTTTTCTTTAGGTTTTCCCCTACTGTTACTGAAAATGACAGGTCCTCTCCACTTCCGTTTCTGGCCAGAATCTTTCTTTTGTAGCCCCTATTGTCTAGTAGCCCTCGTCTTTCCCTCCAGCACTGTCTGGTTAGCTGTATTTTCTCACTTTTCTGACATGTCTTCAAAACCCTTCTGGTAGAATGAATGCAGAAACTGGGAAAAGCATTTAAAGGGGCCAAGAGACTGTCTTCCTGTCTCAATATTTATTTTCTCCCAACACAATAAATCTACCCTGTCCTGCACAGTGTTAGAGGAGACTGGATATATAGTCATTTTGCTTTTACTGAGTAGGTATCCATGGACACAGTGGATGATACCTAATGTTAGCCATGAGGTCTCCTAGCATGAAATAAACTCGCTCACACTTCCCTAACTTCAAAGCCCAGTCCAAGCTTGTAACAACAAATTTTGACTCTAATTAGATGATCAAGAACGTTGCAGTCCTTGGATCTGCAAACTCAAGCCACCAAGTCACTGTAGAGAACATCATTATCAGCATCTTTGTTGTCAGCATCACCATCACAATAGTGGAAGCACAATTTCATTACACAAATATTAGAGCTTTAACTTTGTTCTTTTTTTTTT